AGCAGACACTTGTGTGTATTTCGGACGTTTGCGAGTAGGCACTTTGCGAGTAGTAGTGGAACGCGCCCGGTGAGTCCCGTTCAGCTGCACCACCGTGCCGCGCTCGCCCGCTGCGATGGACTCCACCATGACCCCCTCGGGCGCCAAGGGCGGGGCGAACATCGCGGCAACGCCGCCTGCGCCAGGCGCCCCAGCGGCGGGGGCCGCTCCCCGGCCAGGCGCCGGCCCAGCAGCTGCTGCAGGAGCTGCGGCCGGGGCGGCGCCCAAGCCAGGCCCCCGGGCCGGTGCCGCACGAACCAGGCCCGCCGCGGCAAGACCCCCGACGGCTGCGCCGCCACCGGCAGCAGCAGCACCAGCGCCCGCTCCGGGCGCGGCGGCGAGCGTGAAACCGAAGGCCGACCACGAGCCCGAGACCGGCAGGACCCCTGCGCGGCCCGCCGCGCGCTCCCTCGCCAGGTAGGCCTCGTCAGCGACCTGGTCCAGCGCCGCTCACACAGCGTCGGAGTCACGGGAGTCAGGGCACAGCGGGAACGATGCACCTGGTTGGCGTCAAACCCAGTGAGGCCCCGCCGCGCTGCCGTGTACCGAATGGCCATCACGTCGCTGCCTCCTCGGCTGTAGTCCTCCTCATAGACGTCATGATCAGGAGAACTAATGAGATAGAAGACCTCATCGCTCTCACCCGCCTGTGGAGGCGCTGGCTGCCCCCAAATCCCGCGCTGGTGCCAGCGCGGCCCGCTGACGTATATCACCCACGCCCACTCCTTGACGTGGGCTGGCGGAGCGACCATTGTCGATGGCCGCAGGCGCCTTGGGCTGGGTGAGACGTCCAAAGACGCGCCGAACTCCCCGGCGGGCGACGAACCACGCCAGCTGGATCACCACGGAAGGGAAGTGGAGCCCCAGCACGGCGAGGTCGACCAGCCCATCGAGCGAGCCAGAGTCTGCGCTGGTTGTCTCGGCCTTCGGCTCGCTCCGCGCGGCCTCAGTCTCGGTCGCAGCCGCCGCCGCCAAACGCAGCCCAGGAGGCGCGGCCGCGGGCGCCTCGAGCGGGCGCGGCGGCTCGCCTCCGCCGGCGCCAGCGCCAGCCTGCAAGGGTCACGTCGGCGTCGGGCACTGCAGCGATGGGCACTGCGGGCAGGTCACGCCTGCCGGGCACTCTGGGCAGGTCAGGCTGGGACAGCCTGGAAACGGCGGCGCCGCGGGGCACGGTTGCGTCCGCCACCAATATGCCACAAGAGCTCGGGAAGCAGTGCTGGACAGCAGGTCAAGTCTTCGAAGTCCCTGCATATCGAACACCCTTCAAGCTTGAGAACACGTAGCAGCAGAACGGATCATGCTGCATCGGCCCCCTTCCGTCCGACTCCTCGCAGAGAACACCAAGCACGCCAGGGCAATACATATATACACATATACATATATATATATATATACATATATATATATATGTATACATCTATATATTTATATATAGATATGCTCATTTGTAGATTCAGCGAGTCTTCCGTTCAATTTCCCTTAGATTGTTGCTCCAGAGGCGGCGAGAGACTCTGCCTCGCCCACCAAGGAGGGACTAGTATGCATCCTCCGGAGTCTTGGTGATAATCTTATGCGAAACCCGTTCAGTGGCCTGCAGTGGAAACCCGCGACCTCTCGCTTGTCAGACGGATGCTCTACCAACTGAGCTTTCGCGGCTGGCATACATATATGTGAGTATATGTATGTGTATACGTATAGATCTACATGTAGATGTATACGTGCATGTATATGTTTATGTCTATGTATCGAGCCCCTGCGCAATGATGATGCACCGGAGGCGCCAGCGAGTTCTTTCACTTCATTAACGCCTGGCGGCTCTCCGCGCTGGTCCTTCGGCGTCTCCGCGCCGGCGCCCCTCTGGACGGACGTCTTGGACGCTACCAGCCTTACGGCCAATTTCCCTACAAACATTGTTTATTTTGACTCAGCGAGTCTTCCCATGAATTTCCCTCAAGTTTTTGCTCCGGAGACGGCGAGAGATCCTGCCTCGTCCACCAGGTCGGGACCATGATGCGTCCTCCAGAATCTTGGTGCTAGTCTTACGCGTAACCCGCTCGGTGGCCCGCAGGGGGAATTGAACCCGCCACCCCTCGCTTGTGACTGATCTTTCGTACCAACTGAATTATCGCGGCTAGCTGTCCCTGCTGACATCATGGTGTAACAACTCATGGTTTTGGGAATATGCCTTACGCCTACCCTATGTGTTTCATCAAAGTCTTTTCCATGACATTCAACTCTACTTGATCCATATATGGGTTTCAAGATCCCTCCATCATACTAACAGATGTTGTGTGCTTTGCCTGTCTCGTCCCGATGAACTCGGGCCCCTCGGTGGGGCCGAAACCAGCTACATGCAGCAGATTTCCTCCCTCCTCCTCCCCCCTCCCACCCAGAGAAAGAGGGGGCGACCACGAGCAACGTGGCCCCAGGAAGTTTACAGGCACGCCTGCGAAGCAGCTGGGGGTGTGGAGGCCCTTCCAGCGCTTTGGCAGGACACCATTTCTTCGGCCACGGCGTGGCGTGTCGCAGCCAGCAAGTATTGCGATGCCACGTGATAGTGGCTATGTTTATGTCGGGCGTGTCCCCCTACAGGGGGATTTTCGACGGAAAAAAATACCCCAAAAATACTCCCAAAAGGTCAACAAATACTCAAAAGATAGTCCCCAGACTATTATTCGGAGTATCCTTGGACTATTTTTGAGGTATTTCTTATTCTTCGTCGAAAATCCCCCTGTAGGGGGACAGGCCCGACTTAAGGCTATGTGCTCATGTGCGTTTCGTACTCAGCATTTGCTTGCTCGCTTGCTTGCCCTTTCCCACCCACCCCCTTTCGCCCGACCCGACTGGCCCGCGGGCCGCAGGCAGGACGGCGCCAGATCCGTCTGCCCGCACTGGTGCACGCCCGCCCTCCCGCCGCGCCCCCTGCCGGCCACGCCTGGCAGAGGAGGAGGAGGAGGAAAGGGAGGAGGAGGAGGAGGAGGAGGAGGAGGAGGAGGAGGAGGAGGAGGAAAGGGAGGAGGAGGAGGGCGAGGAGGAGGGGAGGAGGAGGAGGAGGAGGAGGAGGAGGAGAAGGAAAGGGAGGAGGGAGGAGGAGGAGGAGGAGAGGAGGGGAGGAGGAGGAGGAGGGGGGAGGAGGAGAAAGGGAGGAGGAGGAGGGCGAGGAGGAGGAGGAGGAGGAGGAGGAGGAGGAGGAGGAGGAGGAGGAGGAGCCCAGCCTCGCGCCAGCCTCGCGCCCCGCGCCCCGCGATGGGCGGCCGTCGTCGCGCCCCTCGCGCCCTCGCGCCCTGGAGACAGGCACCCCCCCAACGAGCGAGCGAACGACGGCGACGAGCGGCAGAAGACGACGGCGACGACGAACGTGAGGCGACGACGGCGACGACGACGACGACGAACTTAATTAAGGCGACGACGACGAACTTAAGGCGACGACGACGACGACGACGACGACGAACGGCAGAAGACGACGGCGACGACGAACGCAAGGCGACGACGACGACGAAGACGCAGTGCGCGAGGCGCGACCAGGCCCTCCCTTCTAGGTCCGGCACGTCCTCCTGGAGGCGGATGCCGGGAGGCAAAATGAGAAACCTCAAACGACAGCAATCACAGTAAGAACGGTTTTTTGAAGGCAGATCTGGATTCGCACTCTCTACCTGCAAGGAGGAAAGACTGGTCTACTCTGTAAGAACGGTTTTTTGAAGGCAGATCTGCCTTCAAACAATTGGTCTACTCTGTAAGAACGGTTTTTTGAAGGCAGATCTGCCTTCAAAAAACCGTTCTTACAGAGTAGACCAGTCTTTCCTCTTTGAAGGCAGATCTGCCTTCAAAAAACCGTTCTTACAGAGTAGACCAGTCTTTCCTCCTTGCGGGGAGGCAAAATGAGACACGTCAACCGACAGCAATCACAAACGGTCCACGCAGCACGGAGAATCGCCACCCGATCATCTGTCTAGCTACTCCAGATCTCGTAATAAAAGGGAGGGGGTCTGGACCCTCCAAGACAAGCCATTTCAGACCCCCCCCCCTGGGAGAACCCTCCAAACGTCGTCCCCAGACCCCCCCAGGCCCTCCAAGATAGCCTGGAAGAGACCCCCCCCCGAAAGGAGACCCCCCTCCCTTTATTACGAAATCTGGAGTATTCTTGAACATTCCTCGTGCAGAGGGTCATGCCTGACTTGGCCCTACCTTCAGGTCGGGCATATCCGCCTACAGGCGGATTTTGGACTGCTCAGAAGTGGCCGGGAGAAATGGTCGAACATCGTCCCGAGACTGGTTTTTGACTACGCTTGAACATTCCCCCTGCCGAGGGACACGCCCGACTTAGAGCGCGTTTCTTTATGTTCGGCGATGACGGGCGTCTTGGGGGGGGGGGGGGGGGGGGGGGGCGAGGGGGGGGTATGACGCAACGCCCCCCCTCCCCCCGCCGTGTGGCTCCGGCACCGCAGCCGCGCCCGCGCGCGCGACGCGACGAGCGACGAGCGACGAGCGACGAGCGACGACGCCGACGACGACGGCGGGGCGTGGCGGAGGGAGGGAGAGTTCTAACAGAACCCTCCCTCCACCCCGCCCCAGAGGGCCCCGAGTCGCTCAAAGATCTGCCGCAAACGCCCAAGACAGCCCCAAGACCGTCCAAGAAGCCTCCAAGACGTCCCAGGCCCCCTCCGAGAGACCCCCAGGAAGCCCCAGGAGGCCCCCACGAGGCTTCCAAGCGGCCCCTAAGACCTTCCCAAGAGGCCCACAAACTACCCCCAAGAGGCCCCCAAGAGCGCTCGTCGTCGTCGTCGTCGTCGTCGCCATTCCGGGTCGGCGGCACCGGCCGTAAGGCCTTCGCAATAGAACCCTCCGCCCCGCCCCGCCCCGCCCCGCCCCACAGAGAGAGAGAGAGAGAGCGAGGCCACCCGCCGCTCCTCCCCGCGCCACCGCCGACGCCGGCCGGGGGGGGCCCGCCCCAGGCCCGGGGCCTGCGCCGTGCTCCCGGAGCTCCTGTGGAGGAGGCGCCCAAACTGAAGGGGCCCCAGGACACACAGATAAATACACACAATTAAAAAAACATGTTCCCCATATTTGCCCACATTTTCTGGGTTTTTGTCTTCCCCCCCACTTCCCATATTTTCCCGTATTTTCCTGGGAATCGACGATTCATTGTGTCTGTGTGTTTTTTCCTCTCCTGACAAGCGTCGGCCTCGATCAGGGGGCCACCTGCGAACCCTACCCCTACCCCCCACGGCTTCTGAGGGGGAAGGTGGGGTTCAGTCCGTTCGGGAGCTCACCCTCCCGATTCAGAAGTCGTGGGGGGCAGGGGTAGGGTTCGCATGTGGCCCCATTCTGATTGGACAGGACACGCGAGAGGACACAGGACCCTCTTCCGAGGGCCACACCGCCACCGGAGCGTAAGAGAAGGCACGTGCCGCGAGGCACGGGACACACAAAGGTACCCTTGAGCTGGCAGGGTCGACCTACTAATCCGGGCCGACTGTAGGGAAACGGGAAAATGGCATGAACACAAAAATCGGGTCGGGCGAAAGGGGGGGATAGCAAAGGAGGGGGTTGAGAATCAGCTCACGTAGCTGATTTTCCTGGAGCCTCCCGGCGCCGGGAGGCGGCCATGTATCGAGGAATGGACCCCTCGGCGGGGCCGAAACCAGCTGCATGCAGCAAATTTCGTAACCCCCCCTTTCCCAATCCCCCCCTTTCGTCCGGCCCGAAAAAACTCGGACCGCCAAAGGTTTATGTTCGTTCCGTTTTCAGGGGGCCACCTGCGAACCCTACCCCTACTCCCCCACGATTTCCGAGGTGAACCCCACCCTCCCCCTCGGAAATCGTGGCGGGTAGGGGTAGGGTTCGCAGGTGGCCCCCTCAAAACCGAATTAAAAATTAACTCTTGGCGGTCCGCGTGGATTTCTCGGGTCTGCGCGGCCCCCCTTCCTGGCGCGCGGAGCGCGCCAGGGGCGGCGTGGGAGGCGCCGCCAGGGGGGTCGAAGCGCAGATCCGAAAATCCGCACGGGCCGCCGACAGTTCATGCTTGTGTTAGGTCGGGCATGTCCTCCTACAGGCGGATGGTGGACGAAAACTTTTGAAACATACTCAAGCAAGGTCCCACAAAAATTCAGGGACTATTTTTCGGCCGTGCTTGGATATCCCTCCTGCAGGGGGACGTGCACGACTGAAGTTTCTGCCGCTTTGTTTTGGCGGCGAGCAGAAGGGGGTAGGGGGAGGGGGGAAGGCTTCGTAGAGGGAAGCTGCTTCTTAGAACGCGCCGGCCTCACATCTACAGAGAAGGCCGGCACCTTCTAAGAATCAGGGGTGCTTCTAAGAAGCCTTCCCCCCTCCCCCTCCCCCTCCCCCCTCCTCCCCCTCCCCCTCCCCCTCCCCCTCCTCCCTCCTCCCTCCTCCTCCTCCTCCTCCTCCTCCTCCTCCTCCTCCCCCTCCTCCTCCTACCCCCCTCTGCGCGCCGCCAGTTGTTGCTCGCCGGGGTCCGCGACGACCCCGGGCGAGAGGTTGGACCGCGTGGAGCCGCCGCCGGTGCTGGTGGCCTCCTCGACGAGCTCTCTCGCCGGGTGGCCGCCGAGGGTGCCCCCTGGCCCAAGGTGCCCCGAGCCCTTCGCTCCGTTTATTAGCAAGCAGAAATGAAGGGGCCCCAGGACACACCAGTAAGTACACGCAAATGAAAAGATTCCCCATATTTCCCCAGATTTTCTAGGTGTTTGTCTTCCCCCCCACGTCCCATATTTTCCCATATGTTCCTGGGGATCGTCGATTGATTGTGTCTGTGTGTTTTTTCCCTCCTGATATGAGAGAGCGGAAAGTGAGCGCTTTCTTCTTCGGCGTCAGTGGGCGGAAAAAAACGGGGGGGGAGGGGGGGGGTCTGGCTCCGGACAGACCTCCCTGTAGTAAAACGTGGTCTAATGAAAACGACCGGAGGCCCAAGCCTGAAAAATGACGGCCACGGCGCCCTCGCGAGAACCGAGAACGGACCATTCACTCATCGACGTGTCACTGTGGGGGGTTCTGTCCAGCCCCGAGAAGTGAGCGTTTTCTTCTTCGGCGTCATTGGGCGGAAAGGGAGGGGAGGGGGGGGGGGTCGGCTCCGGACCTCTGCTTAAGCGCCACGGTTTGCAGCAGGGCGCCCTTTGGGGGGAGAGTCCACCTGCCTGAAAACAGGCGCCAAAAACAGCCAAGATCCACTCTATTGGGGGGGGGAGGGGGGGGGAGGGCCCGCGCCGATCGGCAAAACAACGAATAAGAAAACGATCACAACATCCACCCTCATAATATAACCCCGACGCGCGAAGTCGTTTACGAGACGCACCAAGAGAAGGAATCGAACAGGGCAGGGCTGTTTAGCAAACGCCCAGGGCCGTTTAGCAAAAGCCAACTATCGGGTCCGGGCGGTTTCTCGCCATCGCTTGGACGTCCATTCCCTGTGCATTTTTCGGCTCCGTGCGCGCATTTTTCCGCAACGCGAACAAAGATGCTCCTCGAGGGCCCTTGCCGGTAAAAAAAATGCACACGTCCGAGCGACGCCAGGGCGTTTCCTCCCTGGATTCGTGGAGCCCCCATGGGGCCCTCCGGGCCCCGCGATGGGGCCCTCTGGGGGACGCGTGGGGTCCTCCTGGGAGATCCTGGGGGCGGAGGGGGAGGAGGGGGAGGAGGAGGGGGAGGAGGAGGAGGAGGGAGGAGGAGGAGGAGGAGGAGGAGAGGAGGGAGGAGGAGGAGGAGGGGGCCCCCTTGGGTGGGGGGCACCCCTGGCGGCCCCCGCATGAGCACCTTCGCGTCGTGCTCGCGGATGTCCGCGATGAGCCGCAGCCGCAGCGAGCCCTCCGTGGGGATGCCGCGGGCAGCGGCCTCCTCGACGAGCGCCCGGTGGCAGAACCGGGTGAGGCCTCGGCGGTTCCAGGTCGCGGGAGGGAGGCGGGGGCAAGGAGAATGGAGATATAGAGGGAGAGAGAGGAGAGAGAGAGAGAGAGAGAGAGAGAGAGAGGGGAGCGAGGAGAGCGAGAGAGGGCGAGAGAGAGAGGGACTCCGCTCTCCTGCTCTCTGTCTTCCTCCTCCTCCTCCTCCTCCTCCTCCTGCTCCTGCTCCTCCTCCTGCTCCTGCTCCTGCTCCTGCTCCTGCTCCTCCTCCTGCTGCTCGTCCTCTGCCTCTGCCTCCCCTGTCGCGCGCCGCAGCGTGGGTCCCGCAACATGCCAGTGTCGGCTCGATGGGACGCGGTGTGTGTGTGTGTGTGTGTGTGTGTGTGTGTGTGTGTCGGTGTGTGTGTGTGTGTGTGTGTGTGTGTGTGTGTGTGTGTGTGCGTGCGTGCGTGCGTGCGTGCGTGCGTGCGTGCGTGCGTGCGTGCGTGCGTGCGTGCGTGCGTGCGTGCGTGCGTGCGTATGCAAATGAGTGCGTAATTGTGTAAGGGTGTAAGTGTGTATGTGTGTATGTGTAAGTGTAAGTGTAAGTGTAAGTGTCAGTGTCAGTGTAAGTTTAAGTGTGTAAATGTGTAAGTGTGCTAGTGTATAAGAGTGCAAGTGTAAGTATGTGTGCGTGTGTGTGTGTGTGTGTGTGTGTAAGTGTGCATGTGTGTAAATGTGTGTAAGTAAGTAAGCAAGTAAGTAAGTAAGTAAGTGATAGCTTTAGTTCATCAGTAAGCTAGTAAGAAAGGGCAAGTCGGTGTGTGTGTGTAAGTGTGTGTGTGTGTGTGTGTTCCGACGCCGCCAGCGTGCTGACCCATCCTGAGCCTCCCCCTCCCCCTCCACCCAACGAGAGAGAGAGAGAGAGTAGACCGTAGAGGGCAGAGAGAGAGAGAGAGCAGGGAGCAGAGAGCAGACCGTACCGCAGAGAGCACCGAAAGCAGACGGCAGGGAGAGCAGAGAGAGAGAGAGAGAAAGGGGGAACATATATATATATATAGAGAGAGAGAGAGAGAGAGAGAGAGAGAGAGAGAGAGAGAGAAAAAAAAAAAACGCGCGCAACACTTCTAGAGAGAGGGGGGGAGGAGCGAGAGAGAGAGAGAGAGAGAGAAAGAGAGCGCGCAACACGTCGTGCGATGAACTCATCCGCGGGCGGGGCCACAGGTGGCCCGCGGCCCGCGCCTCGGGAGGGGCTGCGTGCAGAAGACGGGGGCGGCGCGAGGGCCTGCCTCCGGCGCGGTCTGCGCGGGACCACGAGTGGAAAGCGGAGGGGGGCGCGGCGATTCGGGAGGAGGAGGAGGAGGAAGAGGAGGAGGGAGGAGGAGGAGGAAAAGGAGGAGGAGGAGGAGGAGGAGGAGGAGGAGGAGGAGGAGGAGGAGGAGGAGGAGGGAGGAGGCGGAAGAAAAGAAGGGTACTGAGGGTACTGACAACACGGGCACGTCATGGTGCCCCTCGCCCCACGGCGCAATTAGAGCTTAATCGCTGTCGATAAATTCGGGTCGGGTGCCTCCTTCTGAGAGTTCAGGCAGGGCCTCCCCCACTGCACAAGATCACCAGGCGAGGCGAAACCATGCAACTTGGCGACTGAAGCGGCCTGAAAGCCCCGAAAGCGAAGGAGGCGAGAACTGCCCCCGCACCAGAAACTCTGGAATCAGGGCCCATGTGGCTGCAAGCCGAAACCTGACCCTCTACATACTCGCTGTCAAGGCTCCCCGCAGCAACAGCAGCAGCACAGCCCCCACCAGCGTCCACCAGAGGACCCCAAACAGCTTTCATCGCAAGGGTTGGTCCAAAGGCAGGGACCACCCTGGCTTCGCCATGAGCGTGCCCTGGGAACAACGCCAGCCTCAGCTTAGACCGCTGGGTCTTGAGACCAGGCTGCTCGGAGCCCTTACGCTCCTCTCGGAGACCGCGCGCCGACGTGTGCGCAGAGGCCCCGCAAACTCTGTAGAACAAAAGGTCGGTCAAGTCCTGGCCTCGGTCGGTGACTGAGGCTTGCACCAGCGAGTGGCCCCTGACAACCCAGGGGGCTCCTGAGGCAGAGACAAAGGAATTATCGACCTCGCCTGGTTCAGCACAGCCTGTCAGAGTGGGAGGAGGAGGGAGGCTCGGAGCGGGGTTAGGAAACTCGACCCCCTCAGCCAAGGACCAAGCCCCGAAAGGCGCCACACCTCCGACCAAACAGGCTTGAACTAGACCAGGAGGTAGATCAGCACCCCAGACGATGTCCACAGTACCGACAAGATCCTGCGAGTCCGGCTGCTCCAGCCCCCAAAAAACTTCTTGGCATCCGCTCTGCCACTTAACCATGCACGAGGCAATCCTTTCACACCCAGAGACATAAAACAAGGTGGTCGTGAGAAGCGCTCCAGAGGCGGGCCCCTGTCTTGGCCCACCTATCAGCGAGAGCATTACCTTTTTATCGGCCATTCCTCATGATCTGAAGTGGCGGCAGCTAGACTCTGGTGAGCCTCTATTATACAAACAGAGGCCAATCTGCCGATGCCGCTCCACCAATCACCCCACAGGTGACGGCGAGGGTTGGAAGTCGAGAGCTGGGGCCTGTCGCGCAGCCACGCGTGCCTGAACAATCAGCGTGGGCCTCCAGCGGGTGGTCGGCTGACCATTCGCTGAATTGAGAGAACATCTGGAAACCCCAGTCCTCCCCGTCCCGAGCCGCCTGTCCTGGAGCCGCATGGAGCGGCACCGCGCCGTGCATGGCGCCGATCAAGTTGCCAGCTGGGTGGATCTGAACGACCGACCACCCTGCGCGGCGAAAACCCTGAAGGTGGGAATGGAAAGCCGAGCCGTCAACGACGACCGCGCCCGAAAACTTCCACCCAAGGAAAACACGGACGAACCTGAGCTGATCCCCTCGAGGGACCTCCTTGCAAGGGAAGCAGAGAGACGGAGAGGGGGAGGGGCATCTCGCCTTGAGCTCACTAGCTTCCTCCCCAATCTGCTTCACATACTGCGCAGCCTGCATGACATGCTGCGGGCGCTCCTCGCGCCTGAGCTGGAGACACATGGGGCAATCGTAGAACCGATGCCACAAGGTGCCTCTCGTGCCGCAGTGGGCGCAGGCATCAGACTGAGCCCTGCCCCTAGAGTGCAACCGAGCTCGAGGCCAATGGGATCCTCCGACCAAGCTCCGAATGGCAGCAGCACGATGCTGCGACCAGCTGTCATCAAAGTCCTCGTTGATAAGACGAATGGGGAGGCCAATTGAGAGGCGAGACCCACAGCGCTTGGAGTCTTTCCATCGCCGAGACGCCAGAAGCCTGAAGCGCCAGATGCCTGACAATATCAACAAAGAAAGCAGGAGAGAAGTCAGCAAGCAGTATTGATAAGATGCCAGAGCACATCAGCAGAAGGCAAGGCGCAGCCGATCCTGGCGAGAGACAAGACAGCAGCCTGATATGGGTCGACGGCTTGAGACCAAGGTCGCTCTTTTTTCCAACCGGCAGCGCGCTTCCCGCAGGCAGGCCTGCAGCGGACCAAGGCCTGGCAAGACCGACCGTGCACTCAGTGCCCAATGCTTGATCACGTCACAGACCACAACTACCCAGGGGCCCCTGGCGGCCCTTCTAGGCGCGGCACGCAACCTGAGAGCAACCGAGGTGCCTGGAGGGACACGACCCCCCCTCTGACAGTGGCTAACCTGGGAGCAGCAAGCTTCACATCAGCTATGCCAGCGGCCGCCGCCCCCCCCACGCCGCCGTCGCCGCATGGGGGGCCCTTCGTGATCGTTCTGACCGAAACAGCTATGGCAAGCCGCTTGTTGTGCTCAGTGACACTACGAGCAGCACCACTATTGGCACCTGTGCCAAGAACCCTGCTGCTGCTGAGCCTTTGCTCAGAGCTGAGATCCCAACTCTGGTTGAGGTCATCATCTAGGTCCACCGTGCTAGTCATGCAACCAGTCTTGTCCCTGTTAACTACTAGCTGTCGATGCTGCAGCGCGGCCGCTAGACCTGGCGTGGCCTGAGGGTACTGCTCAAGCACATGTAGACGACCTCCACTAGCCTGTAAGTGGGAATCGTCTACCAAATTCTGAAACCTGACAGCAGGATATTCCCACCGTAGAGAAACAATCAAAGTGTGGACCAAAAGCTTGGCCAGAGCTAGCGCGCAGCTGCACCCAGCCGCGACGGAGTGCATCTGAGATGGCAGTCTTCCGCCGAGCACGCAAGGGCAGGCGATGGCCTGCGCGAAGACATTTCAGAAGCTGCATCGGAAACCCCGTGGTCAGGCCTTCCCGCAGCAGGTCTACATGAGAAATGTGCTCACAATTCTTACTTCAGTCTAGCAGTCCACTGATCGCGGCGAGGCCTTTGAGCCTCGCAAATATCTGAACTATGTCATGGACATGACCTGCCCTATCACAGGTTAGGCCAGCTCCACCCCAGAAGGCCGAACTATTGAGGGAGAGCTCCCAGCTCCTGGCCACGGGTTGCCAGGGGCGGGGCCAGATTCTTCCCCAGACCGAGGCCAGAACAATCGGCCGAACTCCCAAGGCAGGGGCAGGTTTGCCCAACAAGAAAATCATGGGGGTCCAGAGCTGCAAATCCTCTGGATCCTGCTCCCACCTCATCAAAGTATCCAGGAACGCGGAACGCTTGCTTGTAGCTGTCGGGAAGCCGCGGCGCCTGACGCGGATGCAAGTGATCCCATCCTAGCCCACATGGGCCAGAGTAGAACGACGAGACTTCATGAAGCCGCGCGATGGAGACCCTCGGAAGCGGCGCCCAAGGACCCAGACCACCAGGAACCAGAAGGCCCCGAGACGGAAGCGAGGCCCCCGAAGGCCTGGAGGGGGCCACCCCGGGCCCCCAGTCCCTAAGCTCCACCATCGCGCTCGGGAGCGTTCCACAACGGCACCCACTTGCCCAGCAGACGATCGACCGCCTGCTGACCTTCGACAAAGAGCGGCGGCAAGTCGCCCGTAACTCCCGTGTAGATCTGAGTCTCGGGCAGAGGCTCTCGAACATAACCGCGGGCAGCCCTCCCCCTTTGATCTTTGGCCGCAGCTTTGGCCCGGGCCTTCCAGGCCGACGCGCTGGCAGCAGCTCTTTCTTTGCTTTGGAGGCGAGAGAGGCGACCCCTCAAACCCGGGAGGGGCCCCAGGGCCCCGCCCCCACCATCAGTTAAGAACAGCACTAAATCATTCCTGGAATAGCTGCTCCACTGCCCCAGGTTGGAGTCCTGGGGCCAGTCTGGTAGAGCAGCGCGCTGGACTGCGAGGGCCTGCCTACGCTGCGAAGCCAGTGCCTTGAAACCTTTCGCTCGGGACTCCGAGCTGATAGCATGCAGGCGCGCGGAGGCCGAGTAGAAGGAAGTCCACTTCCTTTCTTCAACCGAAGAGACCTGCCTGAGGTCGCTCTGCCAGGCGCAATCTACTGCCACATGCTGAACTCGAAGACAGTCAGCTCGCCCGGAGTCAGCTTGGAGCACCGAGTGGAGATGTCGTGAAAGTCCAGAAGGCACTCCTCGACGCGGCGGAACCAGAGCTGACAGGCCGCTTGAAGATCAGAGGGCAATTCTTCTCCAAGTGTCCAAGACCAGTCACTGAGTGCTCGTTCTGTTGGCGCTGGCCGAACAGGCGCTGCTTTATCAATCGGGAACTTCATGGGCAGGAGGGCCTTAGGCACCTTGGCCTCCACTGGGATACCATTGAGCAGGAAGACCCACAGGGCGGTGCAATCGCGCTCGCGCTACAGCGATGTCCTTGATGACGCAGGCGAACGGCGCGAGGACCCTGCTGCACACGAGTGCGCCCAACTTCACGAGATCCACATCAACCTTGGCCTTGGCAGCCCACGTCTGCATGTCCCCTGGGGCTAAATTCCAATCCGTTCCAATGATCCACGGGAAAGGCAGAGAGCCCACAGCTTGTAAAGACTGCCAAGTAGATCAATGTTGGCCCCGGCGAGCCCGATGCTGGTGCGAAGGTACACTGAGACCGCAATGACAGGACTGGGGAGGCCGATGTTGACTGACATGGCCGCAACTCTGGAATCCGAAAGGGTTCCTTGAGCCAAGTTCAAGAGATCCGCTGGGAACCTGCTGAGAACTGCACGACCTGCACTCGACTCTGCGGGCCCAACACCTGTGCTGTCCGCCTGAGGAATGGAGACGTTGAGGCCTCGTTGAGTACACCACCTGCGAGCGCTGAGCGCTGGCCCGCCGAAAAGCATCCTTGAGACGATGCTCTTGAAAGAAAAGAATGTCGGGAAGACAGTCTTGCTCCTCACCTTGAAGATCAGGCTTGGTCCACTCCAGCATGGCTTGAGCAAACGTCCAGGCTCCTGGGTTGAGCGTCCACATGAGCAGGTCTAAAGGCACTCTGCTACCCCAACTTTTGAAGTTTGCCGCGGGCTGCAATGTCAACCAGGAACCGCTCGAGCTGTCCAGGGTCATCTGCTGCAGCATCTCCTGCGGCCTTGACCTTGCCGCGGAGCTCGCTGTCCTCGCGGTCGAAGTCCATGGGGCCTGCGCTGGCAGAAGCACCGCTGGGAGGAACTGCGGACTGAGTAGCCGGCAGACGGGGGGGCAGCGCCGGCTGCGGGCGGCTCCGGCAACGGCGCCTGGAGCTCCCCCCTCTTGACGGAGGCCGCCTGGAGCAACCCGGCTGCGTCCAGCCCAAAGCGCCCTGCGCACTTACGCGCCGCCTCATTCATGACCTCGGGCATCGCGAGCTCGTGGACTGGATTGACTTCTTCTGGTCCTGTGGGCGGCTCTTGAAGAACTGACTGGGGCTGAGCTTCCTTGATGTAGAATTCGATTTGGCTAAGGGTCTCCTGATGGGTCTTGGACTGCGCGAGCTCCGCGTCGTAGAGGCGCTGCTGCGCCTCCTGAAGCGCCTCCCTCGCCTCCTTGACCCTCTCCTCAGACTTCTCAATATGTTTCTTCTTGTGGGTGCGCCTCTGGCGAAGGTCTAGCTATTGGCGCTGAGATCTGCTGGCGGAGGCGGTTCATCCTTTTCCTTGAACATGTCCTGCAGCTGGGTCTCCAGCTGAAAACCTCCCTGGACACCCCTTTCTTTGAGCAACTTGAAGAGATCGTCATTGGGCAAGGCTGCCGCGGCAGCTGCCTTGCCCACTTTGCCTCCACTGCCGCCTTTCCCTCCACCTTGGAAGAGCCGCGGTGGTCCACTGCACCCGCGGTTGGGGGGTGGCGACGCTTCGACACTCTGTTTGGCACGCTGCTGGTTGCGAACATGCTGCGGTGCCTTCGAGCCGCAGTCTCGACAGGTCGACCTGAAGGGAGACTTGTCGAAAGCGCAGCAGGGGTCGCGGCAGCGCCACGTGGCTTGACCTTGGGCCGCCTGCCACGGAGGCGCATTGCCGCCCCGATTCGTGAAAACACTGGGATGGCTCGGTCCAGCTGGCGCCACTCCCAAGTGCGCTGGACCAAAGGTTTGCAGACTCAGCTCGAAACCTGGAAATGGCTAGGAGGAGGAGGCTGAGGAGGAGGAGGAGGAGGAGGAGGAGGAGGAGGAAGAGGAAGGCCCAGGTGTAGCACGCTTTGGCGCGCGCGCGTGCCTCCGAGTCCCTCTGCAGGAAGGGCGCTGCGGAGAAGCCGACCCCCCCCCCACCCACCGCGACCCACGGCGGGAACCGTGGGCACTGTTGCCCGGCGGTCTCGCGGGACGCAGAAAAAGGACGGCCAGCGGCCGTTGCGCTGGCAGTGAGCGCCGGGCCTCGCCAGGATGACTTTGTGAGGGGACTGGAGCAGATGACATAAACATGAACACTCGGAGGTCCGCGCGGATTTCTCGGCTCCGCGCTGGACTCCCCTCCCTGGCGCGCGGAGCGCGCCAGGGACGGCGCAGGAGGCGCCGCCAAGGGGTTCCAACGTGGATCCGAGAAAATCCGCGCGGACCTGAGAGTTTTCATGTTTATGTCACTGTTCGCTCCCCTACTCCAGGGGGGCCAAGAGGCGGTGGAGACGCCGAGTGGGTGGCGTCCCAGGCGCACTGGGCTCTCTGGAGCCGTGCGACGAGAGGACCCGCTGGTTCATGGGCGCGAGCTACAGCGACTGCACGAGGCGCGCGGCAAGCGCCTCGAATGCTAACTCGGGCGCGTCTCCCTACAAGGGGCTTTTGGGCGGAGAAAAATACCCCAAAAACACATGGGCACAAATTGTGAAAAGATCGTCCCCAGACTATTCCTGTACTATTTCTGAGTACTCCTCCCGTAGAGTTGTGGATGCCATGACAATGGGCACTCTAACAATCCGACCATTGAACTCACGATGTGGTTCGCATGTGTAAAGCATGTTCCGGACATGCTTTTACATGGTTATAAGAACATATATGAAACATCTGTTGGGCATCTGGAATGTATTTGGCCGCGTGCTTCCTCTCCATTCATCGCCCTCCACAGCTGTAGAGGGACAGGCCCGCCCCAACGCTGCCGGAGCGCGGAGTTGCCGGCGCGAAGGGCCGGCTCGCGGGCGGCCCGGCGGCAGGCCGCCGCGAGGAAGTGGGCGAGGGCCGTCGGCAACTCGGAGGGCGGCCGACGGCCCCATGGGGAGAGAGAGAGAGAGAGAACAAAAGAAGAAGAAGAAGAAAAGGAAGAGGAACAGTAATAATAATACTAATAATAATTCTACTACTACTACTACTACTACTACTACTACTACTACTACTACTACTACTACTACTACTACTACTACTACTACTACTACTACTACTACTACTACTACTACTACTACTACTACTACTACTACTACTACTACTACTACTACTACTACTACTACTACTACTACTACTACTACTACTACTACTACTACTACTACTACTACTACTACTGCTACTACTACTACTACTACTACTACTACTACTACTACTACGACTACTACGACTACTACTACTACTACTACTACTACTACTACTACTACTACTACTACTACTACTACTACTACTACTACTACTACTACTACTACTACTACTACTACTACTACTACTACTACTACTACTACTACTACTACTACTACTACTACTACTACTACTACTACTTAACTACTACTACTACTACTACTACTACTACTACTACTACTACTACTACTACTACTACTACTACTACTACTACTACTACTACTACTTCTACTGCTACTGTTACTACTTATACTACTACTTCTACTAGTACTACTACTACTACTGCTGCTGCTACTACTACTACTACTACTACTATATACTACTATATAC